AATACAAATCAAATGACAGTAGTTTATCAGTAATCCTAAAAAATAACACTGCCAAACTTACATGCTAAAAAACAACAACTTACTTACACATAGTAAGAAATGGTTATAAAAACTGAAACAGAAGTGAAACAAGTAGTAGGAAAGAGGAGAAATAAAAAGCGATACTTATTGATTACTTACTTGATGACTCAGTTGGAAAAAAAACAACCTGATTATAAAAAAAATAAAAAATACACCAAATTTTGCCATGAAATCACCCTTAGAAATGGCAAGGCACACAATTTTCTTTCATGTCATGTTGTGTTTGCTGTTGAAACAGGAAGCTGGGCCAGATACACTACCTGTATAGATTATTATTATTATTTTTTAAGTCTCTTATGCTCACCAAGGCTGCATTTTTTGTATATAAATATATTAAAATGTAATTTATTCCTGTGATGCAAAGCTGAATTTTCAGCAGCCATTATTCCGGTCTTTAGTATCAGATGCTTCATTTTTCTTATTATTATTTTTTAAGTCTCTTATGCTCACCAAGGCCATACATATATATATATATAATACATAATACATATATATATGTATATAAATATATTAAAATGTAATTTATTCCTGTGATGCAAAGCTGAATTTTCAGCAGCCATTATTCCGGTCTTCAATGCCACATGATCCTTAAATTAATTTTTTTTTTTTAATTCAGCAAAGATGTATTAAACTGATTAAAAGTGACAGTAAGATTTAAAAAAGGAAAGGATTCATTCAAATCATCAAATATGACAGTAAAGACACTTATTACAAAATATTTCCGTTTCAAATAAAAACTTCAAATATTTCTTTTGAACTTTCTGTTCATAAAAGCATCCAAAAAATGATCACTGTTTCCACAAAAATATTAAGCAGCAAAAACCGACACTGATCATAATAAGAACCGTTATTAATAATTGATCACAAATAATAATTAATAATAGTAAATAAACATTTATTTTTTTATCAATGTTAAAAGAAATTGTGCTGCTTAATATTTTTAATGAAACCATGATACATTTTTTCAGGATTCTTCAATGAATAGAAAGTTCAAAAAACAGCATTTATTTGAAATAGAAATCTTCTGTAACATTATTAAAGTCTTTACTCTCACTTTGTATTAATTTGTTCAATGCATCCTTGCTGAATAAAGTATAAATTTATTTTTAAAAAACCCACACTAACCCAAACCTTTGACTTTAGATGACCTCAAAGCTAACAGACATTGACTAAAAGCCACAAACGTTAATTCTGATGTCATGTGGTCTTTAATAACGGAGTGAACCTGTACAGATGTACTATAATACATACAAACTATAATAACCTTACTCTGTGGGTCTGACTGTTGACTGACTCTCACTGTTGTAATATGAAGCTTTGGGTTACTGGAAAAAATGTGGATGTTGCTGGAATACTGCTTCTAAATGTATTAAAGTTTAAGTGATATCTGCATTAATAAAGCAGTAACATTACAAAACTATTTGTATCTAACGTCTGCATGTGTAATTGTTCTCTTCTAGTTGTTTATAAGATGCTGTGCATATGTAATCGGAGCAACCAATTAACATCTCAAGAAAACAATTTGTTTAGTACATGCATTGTAAAATAGCCAGCTACTATTATCATTTGTATCCTATGGTTTGTACCAAATGTTTTCTTTAAATAAGTGAAGACCAAATCCAGCATGACACATCACCAACTGTGTTCTCTAAATCATTTGACCTTACAATATCAACGCCTGAGATGTTTTTCAGCATGACAGTATGAAATTGTCATCTCTGCCCCTCAGGATCTGAAGCCCAGTAACATCGTAGTGAAGTCTGACTGCACCTTAAAGATCCTAGACTTCGGGCTGGCCAGAACCGCCTGCACTAACTTCATGATGACGCCCTACGTAGTAACCAGATACTACAGAGCACCAGAGGTCATCTTGGGCATGAAATATAAGGAGAATGGTAAAACTTTTTTTTTTTTTTTTTGTCCGTAATACTCTTGAAAATCAACGGAGAGATCCAAATAAAATTGTGGTATTAATATTTAATTGTGTTTTGCCAGTTGATATCTGGTCGGTGGGTTGCATCATGGGTGAGATGGTCAAAGGAAGTGTCATATTCCAGGGCACTGATCGTATCCTCTTTACTATTGAACTTTAGCCTTTCCAACATATTCACTTGTGAAAATGTACTAACTATGCATTTTTATAAATGTAAATTTTCAATGCAAATTAAAACATTCATGATATGTAAATTTGTGTATGCTTATGTGTGTGTATATATATATATATATATATATATATATATACAGTGGGTACGGAAAGTAT